CTTACTTACTTACTTACATAACCCATACATTTATGTTGCCCCTCCCACAGGGTTTTGGTGTTTTCTACAACAAATTCAGCAATATCAGGCTTTTAAAACAAAGGGGTTTTTTTTGTAAATCACTTCTTTTTTCAATATTTTACACTCGGATATGTCAAAAACTGGGTTAAAGATGAAACAATTGAGTTAAGTTTTAGACTCAAAGCAACTTTAATTCCTGTGCCTGGTTTCTTCTTCAGCTCAGGGTGGGAAGACATGAGATCAGGGGGTCTCCTAAAGTTAAAGGTCTTCATCATCCAACAGCAGAACAAATCTCTATTTAATGCTAATAATTTAGAAAGTTATTGAGTGATTTATATTTGTTTTATATTTATACAAAGTAGCCACATTAATCCTGTGGTCATTTAGGGTTGTTTATTTGTGCAAATAATAATTTAAAAAAACTTAGGTTTTCTAAAAAAAATAAAAAAAAATCAGATGTGGGCCTTACTTGTGACATGTCCAGCCRGTGACCTGGACAGGAAAAGCACTAATCAAGAAAGCTGGATAAAACTCAACCAATCAGTGAAATCTGACATTTTTAAACTATTCTGTGTTAAAATCAACAGCTTTTGCAATTTTGACAAAACTGATAGAGTTTTAATCATCTTTTTAATTTGAAAACAACATTTTTGCTCCAGTTTAGGAAACAAATGTTGACAAACATTATAGTTTTAACATGTTCAGATTGTGTGGACATGACTTTGACTCTGACTGATGACAAGTTTGTTGTTTTGTTAAAAAACCGTTTTTGTCCTAATGTGGGAGTTTCACATTTTTATTGCCCTGCACCACAAAAAGGGGGAATCATGTAATCACCTGTACATGTGTGTATGTTGCTACTTTTTAAATACCTTTTCTGGTATAATTACTCACCTCGTCAGGACCAGTAGTCCTCATGGGTACCAAAGCCTGATTCTGGGTCAGGGGTCAGGTTTTGACTAGAGCTCAGGTGTTAAATGAATTTAGTTTGAAAATCTTAAAAAAAGAAAAACAAAAAACTAAGCACTAAATTTAAATATGTAAAGTGAAAGGGATTTTTTTCTTTTTTTTATCATAAAGGCTGTTTTTGGTAAAAGAAGTTGTACGAATCTGTAAAAACTTCAGTGAAACAAATCTGAACCTGAAGGTAAATCTGTAGAGATAATCTCAGTGGGATTACCTTCATAAAAAGAGGTTTTCTGCTCGTATTATTTGATTTCATCAGATTAAATTGTGTGTAAAGAAGGAGAGAAAAGTTTGTTGCCAGTCCAGTTGTTTTATGAATGAACTGCAGTGACTTTAAGTGATTCTGTTATTTTCTGTCGACCGCAGAGACTTCTTGCTGCAGTACAGAAAAATGCCACAAGAGGAGACCCTCGCAGCGTGGTCCGAGCCATCGACCAGTTCTGCKGACAGAAGGAGTGGGCCATGAACGTGGGCGATGAGAAAGGTGGGGGATGGTTCAGGTTTTTCCGTGAGAAAACTCTTCATGGTTTTGATTCCCCCCCTTTTGTCTCTCTCTCTCTCTCTGTTTTTCTGCTCCTCAGGTTGCATTCTGGACTCTGTGGTGTCCGAGGTGAACCCGGGGACCGTGCTGGAGCTGGGCACCTACTGTGGCTACTCCACGGTGCGGATGGCCAGCCTGCTGCCTCCTCAGGCCAAGATCATCACCCTTGAATTTAACCCAGACTTCGCTGCTGTGGCTCGGCAGGTCATTGCCTGGGCGGGCCTGGAGGAGAAGGTCAGACCTGGTGTCAGGAACAAACGAGAAAGGAAGAAGTTGGATGTGTTTGGCTCAGATCCCTGTTTTCTCTTCTTTCTAGATTCAGCTAGTCGTCGGAGCATCCGGGGACTGGATCCCCAAAATTCAGGAGCAGTTTGGGGTAAAAACATTCGACCTGGTGTTTTTGGATCACTGGAAGGATCGCTACCTTCCTGACACAAAACTAATGGAGGTATTTGCACCTTTAGGAATYGTTTCTCACTTGTTCCTGATTTTTTTTTAACCCACCGTGTCTGTTTGAACGTGTTTCAGGAGTGTGGCCTCTTAAGGAAAGGCAGCATCCTGTTGGCAGACAACGTCATCTGCCCCGGGACCCCCGATTACCTGGAGTACGTTCGAAACAGCCCTCGCTATAAAAGCCAGTACTTCAAGTCTCACCTGGAGTACACCAAAGTGGAGGARGGCTTGGAGAAATCAATTTTCTTGGGCTAGATTTTCACTGAAAGCCTTCACGTTGTTCACATGTGCTAAAACTTCAAACCCTCCACTCTTTTCGTTTTTTCTTTTTTTAAATCTAATATAAAGTAAGAAAAAAGGGATTTTCTCTGAACGTGAGTGTATGAAGCTGGAATTAAAAGCGACACGAAAGAAAAACAAGTGCTTTTTGATTTGTCATTATTGGCCGTTAATTATTCTGCTAATTGACTGATGAGCTGCCAACTGCTTTTTTTTAGAGTCAGTCAACTGGAAAATAATCCAAACCTGTTTTATGCTCTGATGTTCTGCAGCATTGTGTCTGTGCTAACAGTGCATGTGGTGTGTTTATGTGAGTGAGTATGAGTGCTCATCTAATCTCTCAGAGTGATGCAGTTTCATCATGCTGAGGGGAGGGGGGGATTTTGCTGTACATATATATAAAAAATATGTGCTTGCCCACCTAGTTCTTTCTTCACAGACGCCTGCATGATAATCCCAATCTGAGGCCATTAGTGCGCTGAGAGAGAGGGAGAGAGAGGGAGTCGAGGGTTCACCAGAGAGCAGCAGAGAGGGAGGGAGAAAGAGACCGGACAGGGACACACACACACACACACACACACACACACACACACACACACACACACACACACACA